ACACACACACACACACACACACACACACATATATATATATATATATATATATATATATATACACACACACACAAAAAGAACATGGTTGAATATTACCACAAATTTATGTCTGAGAATAAAATAACCTACCTCTAGTGGCACAAAAGACCATCACCACTATATAGGAAGCAAGGTGGTATGATCAAACCATTTTATGGGCTTAGTTGTTAACAATGTTTTGTGTTTTCTGGCAATCCATAGACTGTTAACATTTTTATTCTCTCTCAGTAAGTGTGGAGTATCTGGAATTTATTAAAAACAAACACACATGTAGACCATTTTTAATCTTTACCTTTTAGTGCAACAATTTGAACTTTTGTGCTAGTTTTTATTAATAAATTTCTTACTGTTTGATTCCCAAGCTGTTATTTCTGAGAACAGTTAAATTGGAAAGTTGTTTTATATTCACCAGCAAAGTATTTTTATGAAATAAATTTCCAGTGAAAATACTGCCCTAAAAATATTAACCAACTTCATTCTTGAGTTGGTTTTTCTAATTTTCTCCTTACATAGAGCTATGTATTAATCATTCTTATACAACTGCCACAGGCAATACTTCCACTATCTAGTATTATCTTTTGGGCCTCTGGCATTTAATATATTATGTTATTTTGTGGTAATATAACTATCAGAATATTTTCAGTATAAGCATCTTTCAAAGTACTGGATTTTTTTAAAAAAACAAAAAAACAAAAGTAGCAATATGACTACATACTTATTTCAAACTGTAGATGAGTCCCTCTCAAAGGTTGGTCCTATATAAACTACATACATTATCTATCATTTAAGCCAAATTTTACTTCACTTTATGTTACACAGTTATACCACTGATAGGTGCAACATATACACAGAAAAGAACCAAACCAATAGCTTATATATCAAAACACTTCCCACAAAATATAATTTAGGGCTTTAAACTTAGCACTTCTCTAGTTGGTTTGTGGGAGATCTATCAATAATTCAAGTTTTGCTAGGAAGAAAATTGTAAAGCACTTTGAAGAAAGAATTTCATTTATTTTTTTGTTGTTTATTTTATGTATGTGTTTTTCAAGGTAATGAAGGAGACACGATGAAAAAGTCTGGTGGGCTCTAGCAAGCATTTTCCACAGGAGTTAAGAGATTTCTTCCAATGTAGAAAATTGCAAAGCTCTGAGAGACCTCAATAACAATTCTTGTTTGGCAGCTATGGAATAGATAGTGAGGATCATAGGAAAATGGTTTTAAATGACTGTGATAGAACTGTGCAATGAAACATGCTTTTCAGCAAAATCTTGTGCAACATACAGTGTTAAATAGCATACATTTTATGTAGAACTACTGTGTGAACAACATGTTAACTGTGGCTGTTGGGTTTTTTTGTTGTTTTTGTCTGAAGGTGACAAACATATGTTCTTGCAATAAAGTATTATTCTCAGAATGTCAAGCACATTATTGTAGCAAATATACATACATATATAAATATATATATATACATGCACACACATTTCAATCTAATAATAAAACTTATTAAAAGTATTGTTTAGTAGGTTCTAAATTGTTTCATACAGTAGATCAACTGTAAATTATCAAGAAATCTATAAGAAACTAAATGTCTATAGGTGAAGTTTCAAATCCAAATATTGTAGATTTTCAGGGTTTAGAAGAAAAAGAAAATGTCATATTTTACATGTTTCACATACATTACAAATTCAAACTTTCTCTTTATTGTTTATGTAATCAGGTCCCATGTTGTTCTAAGAAAAATGAAGTATTCAATGTCTGATTGTATAACACTTATAACAGATGTTTGACAGATTTGCTCTAGCAAAATTCTGCACAAACTTATCATATATAGCACAAAAATAGTGTGGTAGAACTACTGTGTGTAAACTGTGAATAGCTGTACCTTTTTGTAGTATTTACCCTTTTAAAAAGAAAAAATATATGATCATATATGCTTTTGCAATAATAAATTATTCTCTAAACACCAAGCAAATTTATCTCTATATAAAAAATATATGTAATATATACATATTCTAAAATATATATAGAACCTGTTTTAAAAGAGATAGAGTACAGTATAATTTAAAAAATTGCAATGTTCTATGGACCAAATGTACAATATTTATAAATTAAAATGCATTTTAAATGTCTACAAATAGTGTCTTAATTAAAGCACGGTTGTTATGTAACTTTCCAAGAGCTAGAGAAAAAATAAAGATTATATTATACATTCTATGATATGGCTTTAATTTTCTTCCTTGGATTGGGCAGGGGATTTTAAATGCTTATTTATAATAGCGTGAAACAAATTTCAATATTAGAATTGAATTGTTATAACAACAGATATAACAATCAAGAAAAGAAAACCTAGATGAATAATATCTAATTTATATGGTGATATTTCTACATTAGTCTAAAGGAGCTTCTCTCACCACCCAGAAGACATCCTGAGATCAATCGAATATGAAAATGCAGAGAAGGTCATTCATTTCCTGTGGGACTAGATCTCCCTGAAGGAATTCATGTTCTCAATTACATGGAACATTAATTCAGTTATTTGTGCTTTAATCCTAAAATAAGGTTGATTTCAATCAAATTTGTTTTCAGAAAGAAAGCCTCATGTGAACATAAAGAGTACATGTTCTAACTTTAAATATTGAAGGATCATCAGAAGTGTTTCCTTTAATGTGTTTGTGGTCTGCTGCCCTCTTTCAGACACAAACATCATTATCTTTTAGTCCTTTCTGCCAAAATATGAGGAAAAAAAAAATAAAAGGTACAAAAGAAAGGTACCCATCTCTGCTGACCTTGTGTCCTGTGAGTTTAAAATTCCACTATGAATGGCGCAGTGGCTTAATGACGCTGAAAGTTGCCGGCCAGAAATGGCTGACGCTTCAGCCATTTGAGTCCAGCCTTTGCGCTAAACAAGGTGAGCTCCTGTTTCCTCCGTTCCTGTCAACCCAACAGGTCGAAAACTCATGTGAGTAGATAAATGGGTACTCTCACCCCAGTGGGAGGAAAAATGCTGGTGGCGCCTTGCACGGGAGTTGGGAGCAGTTGCCGGTAAGCGTGAAACCGCGCTCGCCCGAAAAGGGCGCGAAGCAACGGAAACTCCGCCTCCTGCGCTCGCCAGCCCTGCTCTGCTCTAGGAAGGAGGCTCTGGCAAACCACTTCCAAAAAACAATTGCCTTGAAAACTTCAAGGACTCATCCAAGCAGTCACTGCAGGGTCAGTAATGACTGAGCGCAGACAAAAAAACAAACAAACCTCTAGCTATGTGAATACTAGGTATATTTGTTGTTGTTCATTCGTTAAGTCGTGTCCGACTCTTCGTGACCCCATGAACCATATTGCG